ATCCTTGACACATTAACCATCTAACAAAAAGGGCCAGGCCACCATCTTCAGCTTAAAACGCAACATACTCCACTCAAGGACATCAAAACGAATACAGCCAAACCTCCCCAGAGTGCCAGCTAGAATACCCCTATGAAACGTTGAACACCATCTCTTTGAATCCCAAAAACTCAGGAGATAAAAAGAGCGTTTTTCCCTCCAACCAGAAAAGGGGAACCCCTTGTACGGAGGAAAGAACAGTTGTGAAAACATAAAAATTCCACAAAAGGGCATTGGGCCAAGGGCAAAAGCTCATGCGCCGCTGGATCGATAACAACAAAAACTGCAGTAACCTTCTTTTGGAGAGGGTGCCTGATTAACAAATGTTTTCCCTTTTTTTCGTTTCTTCTCCTTTTTATTTCTTTTTTGGGGCATGCTCCTTTTACCTTCCTGCTTTTCCCGGGAAAAACCTCCCGGCAGGTACACATTGGTACAGTCCCGCGCCCATCAACCTTCCTTCGCGAGGGTGAGGCTTCACAATTACTAAAAATTGCATCCCACAGGGGAAACGATTTACATTACACTTTCCTATAAGCCATAAAGAGGGGGGAAAATACCCCTGCAGGAAGTAAATAATGTTCGGGGTTACCACTTGAGGCTATTTGTTAAAAACCAATCATATGTTAGCTGGAGCCTTCGGCAGGGGGTTTCTGACTGGGGAATGGTTTCCCGCCTAGGCAAATATGTGCCTGCCGGTGACAAGCGCGGTCACAATGTTTTTTTGTATATCAAATGGCTCTATGAGGGATTTCCATGTAAAGCTGCTGTCATATGGGCTGCCAGGCTGAAACTAACAACTGTCGGACAAACTAAGTTTTCCAGTTGCCTAGACTCAAACAAAGCTCTCCAACACTTCTTGTTCCACGTTGCTACATGGAGTTTTCAGGTAAATTTTACATCTGTGACTATAAAGCCTTGGCCCTACTTCATGACTCAAGTACCTGCATTCATCGTCTACAGCGGTAGCGTCACGTTGCTGAATGACAGACAGCCTATACTTTAAACATGAGTCTGTGGCAGAAAGAGGAGGACAGGAAGGAGGTAGCGTCACGTTGCTGAATGACAGACAGCCTATACTTTAAACATGAGTCTGTGGCAGAAAGAGGAGGACAGGAAGGAGGTAGCGTCACGTTGCTGAATGACAGACAGCCTATACTTTAAACATGAGTCTGTGGCAGAAAGAGGAGGACAGGGAAGGAGGTAGCGTCACGTTGCTGAATGACAGACAGCCTATACTTTAAACGTGAGTCTGTGGCAGAAAGAGGAGGACAGGAAGGAGGTAGCGTCACGTTGCTGAATGACAGACAGCCTATACTTTAAACGTGAGTCTGTGACAGAAAGAGGAGGACAGGAAGGAGGTAGCGTCACGTTGCTGAATGACAGACAGCCTATACTTTAAACGTGAGTCTGTGACAGAAAGAGGAGGACAGGAAGGAGGTAGCGTCACGTTGCTGAATGACAGACAGCCTATACTTTAAACATGAGTCTGTGACAGAAAGAGGAGACAGAGGAGGTAGAGGAGGAGGCAGGGGGTGGGGGACAAAAGAAGCACAATAATAATGATATTATTAATAATAAGAATGTAAGGAGGATAAATTGTAATAATAAGACAGGAGACGAAGGAAAAAAAGAAGAGAGACGAAAAAGAAGGAAGAAGAAGAAGATAGATGAAAAAGAAGGAAGAAGAAGAAGAGAGACGAAAAAGAAGGAAGAAGAAGAAGATAGATGAAAAAGAAGGAAGAAGAAGGAGACGAAAAGAAGAAGAAGAAGAAGAAGAAGAAGAAGAAGAAGAAGAAGAAGAAGAAGAAGAAGAAGAAAAGAAGAAGAAGAAGAAGTGTGTGTGTGCGTGTGTGCGTGTGTGTGTGGATTCACTTATTATTTGTAATGAACTCTATCGGCATCTATACAGCATTTAATTAATTTGCTGTTATTTCTACATTTCCGTGTGCAACAGATGCAAGTTCATGTTGTATCACTGTGCTGTGTCACTGTGTTGTGTCACTGTGTTGTGCGTGGGCAAATGTCTAACGAATTCGTGTCTGTGACACCAACACACATATTGAATCACTGACCCGGTGTCGACACAGCTGTGTTCCCAACTTGATTGAAACACTGTGGTTGTAGGTCTACTAGCCTTATTTCGTTGAAATATAAAACGCATGGGCGCAGCGTGTGGGACTGACTGCAACAGAAACTTAGCTATATCTGTATGGCCGCTGGGAGGCATCTCTCCAAGGGCATCTTTCTATGGGGGTCCCAGGCACGTGCCCAGCGGGGGCTGGTGTGTTAAGACGGCCCTGGATGTAGCTAGGTGCTGGCCAGTTCAGTACACAGGCATTATGTGTAGAATGGCGATACTTTCAGCGTGGATTTTAGGTTATTTCATTGAAAATCTCACCTTTGTAGGTGTCCGTAATTGCCTAGCAGTACAAGTTTGCAGTCTTGGTGACGCTGTTAAAGGTGAATTAGATCACCAGTATAATGATCTGAGATTCAGATCTGACTTGTCTAAAATTATCATCATCTTTATTATCTATCACCAGTGTAATGATCTGAGATTCAGATCTAACTTGTCTAATATTATCATCATCTTTATTATCTATCACCAGTGTAATGATCTGAGATTCAGATCTGACTTGTCTTATATTATCATCATCTTTATGATCTATCACCAGTGTACAAGTCGGTGGCAAATAGTGCTTGACCCATGTTTGTGACTGACCCATCAGCACCCACAGATGATGTTGTGGAGCTATGATTTCTTCTTATCCGATGTATAATGACGACCCGGCGTCAAGTCACTGAGCTTTGATTTCTTCTTATCCGATGTATAATGACGCCCGCGTCAAGTCACTGAGCTATGATTTTTCTTCTTATCCGATGTATAATGACGATGTATAATGACGCCGGCGTCAAGTCACTGAGCTATGATTTCTTCTTATCCGATGTATAATGACGCCGGCGTCAAGTCACTGAGCTATGATTTCTTCTTATCCGATGTATAATGACGCCGGCGTCAAGTCACTGAGCTATGATTTCTTCTTATCCGATGTATAATGACGCCGGCGTCAAGTCACTGAGCTATGATTTCTTCTTGTCCGATGTATAATGACGCCGGCGTCAAGTCACTTAGCTATGATTTCTTCTTATCCGATGTATAATGACGCCGGCGTCAAGTCACTGAGCTATGATTTCTTCTTATCCGATGTATAATGACGCCGGCGTCAAGTCACTGAGCTATGATTTCTTCTTATCGGATGTATAATGACGCCGGCGTCAAGTCACTGAGCTATGATTTCTTCTTATCCGATGTATAATGACGCCGGCGTCAAGTCACTGAGCTATGATTTCTTCTTATCTGATGTATAATGACGCCGGCGTCGAGTCACTGAGCTATGATTTCTTCTTATCCGATGTATAATGACGCCGGCGTCGAGTCACTGAGCTATGATTTCTTCTTATCCGATGTATAATGACGCCGGCGTCAAGTCACTGAGCTATGATTTCTTCTTATCCGATGTATAATGACGCCGGCGTCAGGTCACTGAGCTATGATTTCTTCTTATCCGATGTATAATGACGCCGGCGTCAAGTCACTGAGCTATGATTTCTTCTTATCCGATGTATAATGACGCCGGCGTCAAGTCACTGAGCTATGATTTCTTCTTATCCGATGTATAATGACGCCGGCGTCGAGTCACTGAGCTATGATTTCTTCTTATCCGATGTATAATGACGCCGGCGTCGAGTCACTGAGCTATGATTTCTTCTTATCCGATGTATAATGACGCCGGCGTCGAGTCACTGAGCTATGATTTCTTCTTATCCGATGTATAATGACGCCGGCGTCGAGTCACTGAGCTATGATTTCTTCTTATCCGATGTATAATGACGCCGGCGTCAAGTCACTGAGCTATGATTTCTTCTTATCCGATGTATAATGACGCCGGCGTCAAGTCACTGAGCTATGATTTCTTCTTATCCGATGTATAATGACGCCGGCGTCAAGTCACTGAGCTATGATTTCTTCTTATCCGATGTATAATGACACCGGCGTCAAGTCACTGAGCTATGATTTCTTCTTATCCGATGTATAATGACGCTGGCATCAAGTCACTGAACTATGATTTCTTCTTATCCGATGAATAATGACGCCGGCGTCAAGTCACTGGGCTATGATTTCTTCTTATCCGATGTATAATGGAAGTAGCTGCTTGTACTGTCTCTACAGCCCACGCTGGAAGTTTAGCCAAGTCCGACAACCCACAAGTAAGAGGTCAATCCGTGGACTGCCCAGATGAAACCCCAGGCTACAGAATCGTCGCCGCTGCTGGCCTCCCGGTCAGCCACTGACCACAGTGTCGATGATAGCCAGCTACTGACCACAACCAGGTGTCGGGCCTCTGTGGTGATGCCCTTGGTTGTTTTTACCTACTTTCTGGGTTACTACACGCTGGTCTGTGTACTCAACCCCTACCTGTATGACGTGGTAAGTACCTGGTTAGTGACAAACATTTACCTGTATGACGTGGTAAGTATCTGGTTAGTGACAAACCTCTAGCTGTATGACGTAGTAAGTATCTGGTTAGTGACTAGCTGTATGACGTGGTAAGCATCTTGTTAGTGACAAACCTCTACCTGTATGACGTGGTAAGTATCTTGTTAGTGACAAACCTCTACTTGTATGATGTGGTAACAATATGGTAAGTGACAAACCTTCACCTGTATGACGTGGTAAGTATCTGGTTAGTGATAAACCTTTACCTGTATGGCATGTTAAGTATCTGGTTAGTGACAAACCCCCTACCTGTATGACGTGGTAAGTATCTTGTTAGTGACAAACCTCTACCTGTATGACGTGGTAAGAATCTGGTTAGTGACAAACCTTTACCTGTTTAACATGGTAAGAATCTGGTTTGTGACAAACCTTTACCTGTATGACATGTTAAGTATCTGGTTAGTGACAAACCTTTATGACGTGAAATATTTGAGAAAGTTGACCAGTAAACCTGCCTGTTGTATCAGGTTACTTTGTATCTAGTTCTCAAAAGTTTGGGAGTGTCCACATGAGATGTACTAACCAGATACTTACCACGTCATACAGGTCAAGGTTTGTCACTAACCAGATACTTACCACGTCATACAGGTCAAGGTTTGTCACTAACCAGATACTTACCACGTCAAACAGGTCAAGGTTTGTCACTAACCAGATACTTACCACGTCATACAGGTGTACCCTTCTATTTGTTGCCATAGGTCCTTCTGTGTGGAGGTTACACAAGAGTTATGGCAGCTCAGAATATGAAAGGCAGCCAGCCGCCATAGTGTAGTGGCTAGATTTCACATGGGATCCGAAGGTCATGGGGTCAAATCCAAATGGAGCTAAACATTTGTATTAAATGACCTTGGCACCCAGGTTGACTGAGTCTTATATGAGTACCAGGTAAAGTCCTGGGAAGTAAAAGGGACCACATCACCCGCCAAGTGCCAACTGATTTATACAATAAAGGTTTATACATAAACATGGGCCTGAAGGCATGGGGACACATCCTTCACAGAAACTGAATATCACTGCAGCGGTCACCTGACTGAATGCCATTGCTGTGGTGACCTGACTGAATGCCACTGCTGCGGTGACCTGACTGAATGCCACTGCTGCGGTGACCTGACTGAATGCCACTGCTGCGGTTACCTGACTGAATGCCACTGCTGCAGTCACCTGACTGAATGCCACTGCTGCAGTCTCCTGACTGAATGCCACTGCTGCAGTCACCTGACTGAATGTCACTGCTGCAGTCACCTGACTGAATGCCACTGCTGCAGTTACCTGACTGAATGCCACTGCTGCAGTTACCTGACTGAATGCCACTGCTGCAGTCACCCGACTGAATGCCACTGCTGTGGTCACCTGACTGAATGGCACTGTTGTGGTTACCTGACTGAATGCCACTGCTGCAGTCACCTGACTGAATGCCACTGCTGCGGTGACCTGACTGAATGCCACTGCTGCGGTGACCTGACTGAATGCCACTCCTGTGGTCACCTGACTGAATGCCACTGCTGCGGTCACCTGACTGAATGCCACTGCTGCAGTCACCTGACTGAATGCCACTGCCGCAGTCACCTGACTGAATGCCACTGCTGCAGTCACCTGAATGAATGCCACTGCTGTGGTCACCTGACTGAATGCCACTGCCGCAGTCACCTGACTGAATACCACTGCTGCTGTCACCTGACTGAATGCCACTGTTGCAGTCACCTGACTGAATGCCACTGCTGCAGTCTCCTGACTGAATGCTACTGCTGCGGTCACCTGACTGGATGCCACTGCTGCAGTCACCTGACTGAATGCCACTGCTGCGGTCACCTGACTGAATGCCACTGCTGCAGTCAACTGACTGAATGTCACTGCTGCAGTCACCTGACTGAATGCTACTGCTGCAGTCACCTGACTGAATGCCACTGCTGCAGTCACCTGACTAAATGCCACTGCTGTGGTCACCTGACTGAATGCCACTGCTGCGGTCACCTGACTGAATGCCACTGCTGCAGTCACCTGACTGAATGCCACTGCTGCAGTCACCTGACTGAATGCCACTGCTGTGGTCACCTGACTGAATGCCACTGCTGCAGTCACCTGACTGAATACCACTGCTGCTGTCACCTGACTGAATGCCACTGTTGCAGTCACCTGACTGAATGCCACTGCTGCAGTCTCCTGACTGAATGCTACTGCTGCAGTCACCTGACTGGATGCCACTGCTGCAGTCACCTGACTGAATGCTACTGCTGTGGTCACCTGACTGAATGCCACTGCTGCAGTCACCTGACTGAATGTCACTGCTGCAGACACCTGACTGAATGCCACTGCTGCAGTCACCTGACTGAATGCCACTGCTGCAGTCACCTGACTGAATGCCACTGCTGTGGTCACCTGACTGAATGCCACTGCTGCAGTCACCTGACTGAATGCCACTGCTGCAGTAACCTGACTGAATGCCACTGCTGCAGTCACCTGACTGAATGCCACTGCTGCAGTCACCTGACTGAATGCCACTGCTGTGGTCACCTGACTGAATGCCACTGCTGCAGTCACCTGACTGAATACCACTGCTGCTGTCACCTGACTGAATGCCACTGTTGCAGTCACCTGACTGAATGCCACTGCTGCAGTCTCCTGACTGAAAGCTACTGCTGCGGTCACCTGACTGGATGCCACTGCTGCAGTCACCTGACTGAATGCCACTGCTGTGGTCACCTGACTGAATGCCACTGCTGCAGTCACCTGACTGAATGCCACTGCTGCAGTCACCTGACTGAATGCCACTGCTGCAGTCACCTGACTGGATGTCACTGCTGCAGTCACCTGATTGAATGCCACTGCTGCAGTCACCTGACTGAATGCCACTGCTGCAGTCACCTGACTGAATGCCACTGCTGCAGTCACCTGACTGGATGTTACTGCTGCAGTCACCTGACTGAATGCCACTGCTGCAGTCACCTGACTGGATGTCACTGCTGCAGTCACCTGACTGGATGTCACTGCTGCAGTCACCTGACTGGATGTCACTGCTGCAGTCACCTGACTGAATGTCACTGCTGCAGTCACCTGACTGGAGTAGATAACCAGCAATAAAGTAAACTGTGTAGTCCTAGTAGCTTTGAGAGCCATGGAAGCGTCACAGAGATCACATACTGTCATAGTTAGTTGTATGGACAGAGACTGAGGCACCTATGTAAGTGTCACAGAGATCACATACTGTCATAGTTAGTTGTATGGAGAGAGACTGAGGCAGCCATGGAAGTGTCACAGAGATCACACACTGTCATAGTTAGTTGTAGGGAGAGAGACTGAGGCAGCCATGTAAGTGTCACAGAGATCACACACTGTCATAGTTAGTTGTATGGAGAGAGACTGAGGCACCTATGTAAGTGTCACAGAGATCACACACTGTCATAGTTAGTTGTATGGACAGAGACTGAGGCACCTATGTAAGTGTCACAGAGATCACATACTGTCATAGTTAGTTGTAGGGAGAGAGACTGAGGCAGCCATGGAAGTGTCACAGAGATCACATACTGTCATAGTTAGTTGTAGGGAGACAGACTGAGGCAGCCATGGAAGTGTCACAGAGATCACACACTGTCATAGTTAGTTGTATGGAGAGAGACTGAGGCAGCCATGGAAGCGTCAGAGAGATCACACACTGTCATAGTTAGTTGTATGGAGAGAGACTGAGGCACCTATGTAAGTGTCACAGAGATCACACACTGTCATAGTTAGTTGTATGGACAGAGACTGAGGCACCTATGTAAGTGTCACAGAGATCACATACTGTCATAGTTAGTTGTAGGGAGAGAGACTGAGGCAGCCATGGAAGTGTCACAGAGATCACATACTGTCATAGTTAGTTGTAGGGAGAGAGACTGGGGCAGCCATGGAAGTGTCACAGAGATCACACACTGTCATAGTTAGTTGTATGGAAAGAGACTGAGGCAGCCATGGAAGTGTCACAGAGATCACACACTGTCATAGTTAGTTGTATGGAGAGAGAATGAGGCAGCCATGTAAGCGTCACAGAGATCACATACTGTCATAGTTAGTTGTATGGAGAGAGACTGAGGCACCTATGTAAGTATGTGTGCGTGCAATCATTTTGTTTCCTTACAAATTAAAATCCTTCAAACGATTTCTCATATTCACTGGAAGTTAAATCTCTTGACCAGACCTTCTTCAGTTCCAGGCAGTTCTCACATCTTGTGGCCCAGAGGTGTATGATGTTTAAATCACTTCCTGGAGCAGAGAAAATGAGGTTGGCCAACTTCTACTCCATTTGAAGACCGGCCCTCTGAGATGTCACCAACCTCAGTTGAACTGTTGCTGTATGTTTTGTTGAGTGGAGGTGCATGGAAGAAAAATAACAGAAAGAGAAGAAAAAAAATGCTTGCCAATAAATAATGATAGTTACCTGAATAAACAAAGTCAAACCTTGGTTGATTTTTCCTCCAGGTGGCGGAGGAGATGGATTATAAACATAATTCTAGCAGTCAGAAACCTTGTGCAGAGAGAGACAGAAACCACACAAACACAACAGGCAATAAGGTAGTAGTGATGTCTGTAGTTCTTGTTTAAGGATACCAGCCCTGACTGGTCTCTTGAATACCTCTGCATGTCATCCTAGATAATCTGTGTTTGCCTCTTGTCGGAGCAATTCACTGGCACCTTTCCGTCTTTCCAGACGATAGTGTTATGTTGCGCTATGAGGAGGCATGAGACTCACAGCCCATGGCGATGGCGAGTGTGACTAGCAAAACTCGCCTGTGTCAAGAAAAGTCTTCCACATTGATAGCATGGGATTTCAGGACAATTGTTGTCAACATTTGTGTTTAATCCATTTCTTTTCAGATGCTCAGCTCTCATCCTTTCTGCAATAATTTCTTCCTTCAGTCTCATTCCCTTCCTGATATGCAATTCCTGATATGAAACTCCCTTCTACACAACACGGTCTATGGCATTTTGTTCCCATGAGTCTGCCTCAATACCTGTATCATTCATGTCCCACTTGCACACATCTTTATAATGTAGTAGAGGTCGGCCTCGACATCTACTTCCCGTCTTTAATTCACCATAAAGGATGTCCTTAGGGACTCTGCCATTCTCCATTCTCCAGGTGTGACCAAGCCACCTGAGCCTTCATAGACAGCATGGAAAAGACTGTTGTAGTACCTGCTCTTTCCAGTACCTCAGTGTTTGTGATTTTGTCCTGCCACTTAATGCCAAGTATTCTTCTTAGGCATCGCATGTGAAAGCTATTAAGCCGTCTCTCCTGGTGCAAATAGGTTGACCAAGTTTCACTGCCATAAAGCAGAGTGCTGAGAACACAAGCCTGATAGACAAGGGTTTTTGTTTTGATTGTGAACTTTCTGCTCTCCCAAACTCTCTTTGTCAATCTGCTCATTGTTGTTCCTGCCTTACCTAACCTGATGTTGATTTCTTGGTCCAGCGATAGTTTACTATTCACTGTGGAACCCAGATAGGTAAAATGGTCTACTGTCTCAAGCTCTTCACCATCAATGTAAACTGTATGTCTGTCATTGACACCTTGTACCATAACCAAGCTCTTCACCACCAATGTAAACTGTATGTCTGTCATTGACACCTTGTACCATAACCAAGCTCTTCACCACCAATGTAAACTGTATGTCTGTCATTGATACCTTTTATCATAACCAAGCTCTTCACCATCAATGTAAACTGTATGTCTGTCATTGACACCTTGTACCATAACCAAGCTCTTCACCATCAATGTAAACTGTATGTCTGTCATTGACACCTTGCACCATAACCAAGCTCTTCACCATCAATGTAAACTGTATGTCTGTCATTGACATCTTGCACCATAACCAAGCTCTTCACCATCAATGTAAACTGTATGTCTGTCATTGACATCTTGCACCATAACCAAGCTCTTCACCAAACAATGTAAACTGAACTGTATTGTCTGCTCTTCACCATCAATGTCATGTCTGTCAAGACACCTTGTACCATAACCCAAACTCTGACAGTCAAAGGTTGAGCCTCTATGCACCACTGTATGTCTGTCATCCTAACCCAGATGTAAACTGTATGTCTGTCATTGACATCATGTACCATAACCAAGCTCTTCACCATCAATGTAAACTGTATTCCCACCTTTATGATGTAAACTGTATGTCTGTCATTGACACCTTGTACCATAACCAAGCTCTTCACCATCAATGTAAACTGTATGTCTGTCATTGACACCTTGCACCATAACCCAGCTCTTCACCATCAATGTAAACTGTATGTCTGTCATTGACATCTTGTACCATAACCAAGCTCTTCACCGTCAATGTAGACTGTATGTCTGTCATTGACACCTTGTACCATAACCCAGCTCTTCACCATCAATGTAAACTGTATGTCTGTCATTGACATCTTGCACCATAACCAAGCTCTGACAGGTCTCTTGAATACTTCTGCATGTCATCCTAGATCATCTGTGTTTGCCTCTTGTCGGGGAGTCATAGACTAAATAAAGGCAATATAGGGAAACCATAAAGATGAGGGTTTCAAGCAGAATGGCAAGAATACCAAGAAACATTTAAAAAGAAACAAAATATGATGACAAAGTGCTGCAAGGGGAGTTAACAACAACAGTTTAGTCACTGCAAGACAATTATCCAACTAGCAGAGATTTGAACCCAGAAACATCAGACCGTCAGGCAAAGGTCTAGCCTCTATGCCATTATTGCTTCCAGTCTGATGTAAGAACCTAGAAAATGAATTAAATCTATCCTGAATTCATGATTATGTTAATTGATTCCCAGATACAGGAAATGTTTCCCAAGTTTATGATTATGCTTGTTTGGTTGCCAGATACGGAACAGGTATCCCAAGTTCATTATTATCTTCATTGATTCCCAGATACAGTAAGCGTATCCCAAGTTCATGATTATGTTTAGTTGGTTCCCAGATACAGGAAATGTATCCCAAGTTCATTATTATCTTCATTGATTCCCAGATACAGTAAGAGTATCCTAAGTTCATGATAATGTTTATTTAGTTTCCAGATACAGGGAATGTTTCCCAATTTCATGATTATAATTATCTGTTTCTCAGATACTGAAACTGTTTCCTAAGTTCATGATTATGTTCATTGTTTCCTAGATCCAGGAAATGATCCAGAAAAAGGTGGCCACCACAGAACTATACCTGTCACTTCCCTGTTACGTCTGCGCAGCAATTTCAATTCTTACTGTTGGTCCTCTCACGGACAAATATGGCCGAAAAGTTGGATTTTTGTTCCCGGTAAGAGATTGCCTGTTTGTTGATGTCTGGTGAATGGATCATTTTGGGTGATCATATCAGTAATTGACTAGCTTCATGGACAGTCAGAAGCTTGTAAATACTTCTTGGCCAGATTTTATGAGTCTCAGTCCAAAATGATTCATTATTCAGCTTTAAAAACTGGCTTGGTTGACTCGTGCAATACATATGTGTTTGAATGTCTCCAACATTACAAATGGAATGATTGATTTGACATTACAATGTATTCTAAATATTTATGCCTAAATGCAGTGAGTAAAGATGTGAAAGAGGGCCCAATAGGTACAAACATCTCCAACATTATAATTAGGTCAGACAGGCTCATATCATTGGTTATAGCAAGAGTTTTTCTATAATGTAAATAGTTCTGTGTTTTTAATATGGGAGGAAATATGAATGCCCACTCATACTACTGTGCCTCATTTAGTCCTTCCACAAGAATATGAAAGGTACCATCATACATTGACGATACATGATCTTCTCCCTTGGAGATTTGTAATGGAGTCAAGCAGGGTTGCGTTCCAGCTCCAACATTGTTTGGCCTTTTCTCCACTGCATTGCTTTGGCTTACATTTGGGACAGCCACTGAAGATATGTCTCCTTAGGAGGTCAGATGGCAGTCATGCAAGAATCAAGTGCAGACAAGATGCCTCAGGGACTTTCTGTTCATGGTCATGCAGCTATTTCTCCACATACTGTAAATAATCTGCAGATTCTCGTGAATGACTTTGCAAAAGCATGCACAGAATTTGGACCCACCAACAATCTCTACAAAACACAAATGATCTGTATGAACGTGGTAGACCCACCAACAGTCTCTACAAAACACAAATGATCTGTATGAACGTGGTAGACTCACCAACAATCTCTACAAAACACAAATGATCTATATGAACGTGGTAGACTCACCAACAATCTCTACAAAACACAAATGATCGGTATGAACGTGGTAGACCCACCAACAATCTCTACAAAACACAAATGATCGGTATGAACGTGGTAGACCCACCAACAATCTCTACAAAACACAAATGATCGGTATGAACGTGGTAGACTCACCAACAATCTCTACAAAACACAAATGATCGGTATGAACGTGGTAGACCCACCAACAATCTCTACAAAACACAAATGATCTGTATGAACGTGGTAGACTCACCAACAATCTCTACAAAACACAAATGATCTATATGAACGTGGTAGACTCACCAACAATCTCTACAAAACACAAATGATCTGTATGAACGTGGTAGACTCACCAACAATCTCTACACAACACAAATGATCGGTATGAACGTGGTAGACCCACCAACAATCTCTACAAAACACAAATGATCTGTATGAACGTGGTAGACCCACCAACAATCTCTACAAAACACAAATGATCGGTATGAACGTGGTAGACCCACCAACAATCTCTACAAAACACAAATGATCGGTATGAACGTGGTAGACTCACCAACAATCTCTACACAACACAAATGATCGGTATGAACGTGGTAGACCCACCAAAATTTTCTACACAACACAAATGATCTATATGAACGTGGTAGACTCACCAACAATCTCTACACAACACAAATGATCTATGTGAACGTGGTAGACCCACCAACAATCTCTACAAAACACAAATGATCTGTATGAACGTGGTAGACCCACCAACAATCTCTACACAACACAAATGATCTATGTGAACGTGGTAGACCCACCAACAATCTCTACAAAACACAAATGATCGGTATGAACGTGGTAGACCCACCAACAATCTCTACAAAACACAAATGATCTATATGAACGTGGTAGACCCACCAACAATCTCTACAAAACACAAATGATCTGTATGAACGTGGTAGACCCACCAACAATCTCTACACAACACAAATGATCTCGTGGTAGACCCACAACAATCTCTACACACAAATGATCTGTATGAACGTGGTAGACCCACCAACAATCTCTACAAAACACAAATGATCTGTATGAACGTGGTAGACCCACCAACAATCTCTACAAAACACAAATGATCGGTATGAACGTGGTAGACCCACCAACAATCTCTACAAAACACAAATGATCGGTATGAACGTGGTAGACCCACCAACAATCTCTACAAAACACAAATGATCGGTATGAACGTGGTAGACCCACCAACAATCTCTACAAAACACAAATGATCGGTATGAACGTGGTAGACCCACCAACAATCTCTACAAAACACAAATGATCGGTATGAACGTGGTAGACCCACCAACAATCTCTACAAAACACAAATGATCGGTATGAACGTGGTAGACACCCACCACAAACAAAATCTCTACAAAACACAAATGATCGGTATGAACGTGGTAGACTCACCAACAATCTCTACAAAACACAAATGATCGGTATGAACGTGGTAGACCCACCAACAATCTCTACAAAACACAAATGATCGGTATGAACGTGGTAGACCCACCAAAACAATCTCTACAAAAACACAAATGATCGGTATGAACGTGGTAGACCCACCAACAATCTCTACAAAACACAAATGATCGGTATGAACGTGGTAGACCCAACCCACCAACAATCTCTACAAAACACAAATGATCGGTATGAACGTGGTAGACCCAAAACAATCTCTACTGTGACGTTGAGAGATTAGCTGCAGAGTCCTGAACATTGAGACAGTGGTCCAACTAATCTTTGAAATAAAAACAGAATGGTTTGCTGTTTGCAAGTCCCAAAGACTAAATGCGTTTTGCAAGGACTAGAGTGGAATATTAGATGATTCGAGAAAAACCAGCCTCTAAATGATAGTGGTGCCAAGGGACTTTATGTGGCTATATGGCACAAAACTGCCGGTCCCACACATTTGATTGTACTGTGACAGCAACGCTGTCCCTAGGGACTGAAGCTGTGACACAAATCTATGGTCCCTAGGGACTGATGGTTGCTGTGACACAAATCTATGGTCCCTAGGGACTGATGGTTGCTGTGACACAAATCTGTGGTCCCTAGGGACTGATGGTTGCCAGGACACAAATCTATGGTCCCTAGGGACTGATGGTTGCCAGGACACAAATCTGTGGTCCCTAGGGACTGATGGTTGCTGTGACACAAATCTGTGGTCCCTAGGGACTGATGGTTGCTGTGACACAAATCTGTGGTCCCTAGGGACTGATGGTTGCTGTGACACAAATCTATGGTCCCTAGGGACTGATGGTTGCTGTGACACAAATCTGTGGTCCCTAGGGACTGATGGTTGCTGTGACACAAATCTGTGGTCCCTAGGGACTGTATGTTTGCTGTGACCCAAAGCCTGTGGTCCACTAGGAACTGTGTTTGCTGTGACACAAATCTAAAACCCCCATCATTTAAACCCCCCAGATAAAGGGGTATTAAATCTTAAACCCCCATTTAACACCCCCAGATATTGGGGGCATTCAACTCTAACCTGTTAATTTAACCCCCAAAAATATTAGGGCATTTAAATCAAATTTTGTCATTTTTAAACCCCCCATATTTTTTTGGGGTATTTAACTCTAAAACCCTTTTCAATTTTCCCCACCAAAATTGAAGGGATTTAAAATCTAACCCTATCATTTAACCCCCCCAGATATTGGAGTATTTAACTCTAACCCTACCAAATTTTAACCCCCACAGATATTGGAGTATTTAATCTAAACCCCATTTTTTAAC